TTTTTGCGAGGTTTTCACTGCATTACTTTTAGTAACTGTAACATTATAGAACTGCTGGAGTTCTGTACAATGTAACAAAACTCTGGCTTTTTTCTACATACTGAATTTAATGAGTTTTCTTTTTTACAAATGGTAATGCTTGAAAAGTCATTTTAAAAAATCTTAAGTTCTTGAGCATAACAGTGTATTTTTCCATTTAAAGGAAATTGTGGCTTGTGCAAATAGAGGAAAAACTTCAGGGAATGACTTGTGATAAATATCCACCATAAAATTTATTATTTAATAACTAGGAAAAGAAACAAAACTATTACTATTAAAGTTGTGCAATTTGCACAAACTAATACACTGGCAGATAAATCCTCCTACAGTTTGTAGACTTACCTGTAAAATGCACTCATATGTTCAGTACAGCTAAATTCAAAATACAGGAATAAAGAAGATTTTCACAGTATGGGAAGTTTTTCATGGACAACTGTGAATTCAGGTATGGTAAACACCCTTTTAAAATAGATTTAAATTGGGTATATGTATGAAGGTTGTATAAGTTTCCTAAATTCCCCCCGATTCTCTGATCTCCTCCAGAACTTATAAATTATAAATGGCTGCAAACTGGTAATTATATTGCAATTAAATATTTATATTCTTACCATTTGGTTTCTAGGAGTTTTGCAGAAAAATTAAAAAGTGAGTGGTATCAGCAGTGTACTTTGAAATGGAACCACACTTGGTGACAAGGTTGGTGTCATTGTGTGGCTTCAATTGTATACTCATCTGTGGCCTGGATTCTGCAAAGGTGAAGTGGCAGAATTTCAAGAGAGAAAAACACCAAAGTATGATGAGACAACAAAAAAAAAAAAAAAAAAAAAAAAAAGTAGGTCAACCATAAGTGTAACAGATACAAGAGGAAGGACATGAAGGCATGAAAAGTGGTTTAGATGTTGATCAGTGCAACACACCAGTGTTTCTTGGACCTGTGCAAGTCCCAGCTCACTAGGAAGTTTCTTGCTGCCCCAACAGTAACTCCAATAGTAATTTAATAAAATAACTGAGACCACGTGTCTACAGTCCTGCTTGTTTCTGCAGGAACGTACACGCACGAGATGTACACGCACAAGAACAGAATGCAGGGAGCAGAAATTCCTGATTCTCAGCTCATCAGCCAGTTTATTGCCATCTTCAGGAGAATGGAGAACTGCAATGCCCCAATCATTTTTAAGTTGATTGCAAGTATGAGAAGCAAATGAGAAGAAAACCAGGTGTGAAAAGACACCACTGGGGCAGCTTTACTCACTCCTACTATAGGTAGACTGAAAAGGAAGAAAGTGTCCATTCAGAAACAGAACTACTTTTTAAAAGAATCTGCTTATAAAGACTTGCATGTTAAAAAAATTATTAGATCTGGCTCCATTGAAATTTTCCAAAGGTGGGCATTATACTTAATAAATTGCAGGACAAAGCCATACTTCTGAGAAAAAGAATTTAAATGTTCAGGTTTTCCACTGCCTTTAGAAGACTTCTGTAGACAATTGCCCATTTCACAGAATCATGAAGGCAAAATGGAATAATTTGGAGGACACTGTGGGTATGGCATATGTTCATATTGGAGTACATCATATGATATCAATAATATTTGTAGGGTCATACAAGAAACATCATCTTACTGGAGCTATTGAAAAGGAAAAAATAAAAGCTCTGGGCAGGCAGCATGACTAAATGCAGTATATGCCATGAGGAAACAAGCAGAGAGGATAACAGTGAGCAAAAGCAAGGAGGTGAAGAATAGCTATACCTACTCTACACCATGTGGGTTACAACATCACCCCTCAGGGCAGGGTTCCAGTAGTACAGTGGGCTGAACAAAACTGGTTGTCTTAGGCTGTGACTCCACAATTAATGTTGCTCGAATAAACCAGTACTTTTGTACGTTTTTACTGTAGTTGCTAAAAATGTGTCCTGAAATGTGGCATGAAAGCCTTCTTAGAAAGAAGAGCTGGAATTCTCCCTGAATCCTCATCAGCACATTATGTGAGAAGAAAAAGGCTGGCATATGAACATCCTCCTCTTGGTCATCTATAAAGCACGGTCTGGTCATTATTGCAGCAGTGTCAAAAGTTGACAAGATGTAGACTCGAGGCTCAAGAAGCAAATAGGATATATATTTGAGTAAAACCAAGACCACAAAGTGTAAGCAAGTTGCTAACACATCCTTATGAAGACCGAAGTGTTTCTTGTCAGATGGGTAGTCAGGATGGATGCCTCTGGATATTGTCTGCACAAGTTAATTTTTCTGGAAACTATATTCAAATATTCTGTAAATCCCCAAACACAAGTAAACCATTTTGGATATTGTGTGAGGCTTGCACCAGGGAATAAATAAATAAAGGGGAAAAAATGCCACTGACGTAAAAATCCTCTTGAAAACAGCCTGAGTCCAAATGAAAAAGTTGCTCATCTTGTTTAAGCATTGGAAAGAAAATGTTTCAACTTGCCAAAAAAGTCTAACCTTAGGACAAGACTTTCTTCCCTAAGCACAAATCTCATCCAAACAATTCATTTCAAATCTCCATACAATAGGCAGAGCAGCTCTGGTACCTCCCTGTGGACTGGGACTTGAGTACAGCTCTTTCTCTGGATGCCTGCCTAGCACTGCTTGCTAGTCATCAGCACGGATAACCAAAACCAACTGTATGCCAAAAAGAGACAGATCGCTCCCTTTATGTGCCATAAACTGACTGAAAACTTCGATATTCCATAACAATGCTTTTCTGATGAGCTATGAACACTTTGGATTAACCTTGAACAGAATTGGAAAGAGTTCAGAAATCCTGATTACTTCCTGAACCAGGGATGGTGTCCTTGGGAAAAACGCAGATGCAAGCGGCAAAATAAAACTGGAGGTAAATGGATGACGAACATATTTGTCAGACTAATAAAATAGTTCTCCTGTAATTATACCTAATATAAAAACCTTAAGACCATTTTTTACACATGCATTTTGCAAGGCAGAGTAGCAGATGTGACAAAGCCAGGTGCTGTGTAACAGGCTCTGCGTAACAACTCATGAAATCATCACTGCACAATTTTTAGGCAATTTTGCCACATAGCATGAGTTGCTCCAAACTGTTGTATACAGTATATGAAACTCATGATTTGCTGGCTCTGAGAGCTGAACTATCCCCAAATTGGATAAAGAGTTGAGTAGGAAAAAATTCAGTTGTCCTCTGGGGTGAAGAATGGAAAAGACAGCTGTTGATTAATACACTGCAGTGCTGATCCACCCTGTAAATTCAGGGAGTGGAGTCAAACAATACCTTTGCTGCACTTCATATGGAAAACTGGATTTGTCTTTGGACTGTTACTGTAAGTCAAGGGATACTCCCATCTGAAACAAAGGCTAATAATGTTGGAGGAAAGACATTCCCTGATTTCCACAGACATTGGGTGAGGCTCAAACTTAGGCACTTTTTGGAGTGAGCTAACTGAACAAATGTGGCAGGCTGTATTTACCATTATTAAGGATTAATATTTGGAGGCAATGAAAAAGAGAAAGTTAATGTCACTAAAATTTTTTACAAATGCAGAAATTCAGACCAAATATTTAATAATCATCACAAATATGTGCTTTTCAGCAAAAAATATTCACAGCCTTTTGAAAAATAATGAGCAGAAACTCTTTTTATTTGTTAAAATTTATATGTACAGATTCAGCTTCTACTTGCTTGTCTAACTTGACTTTTGCCTGCATTCCTTATTTGTTAGATTTATTTTAACAAGTTAACTAGAAATAAAAGGCTTTAGAATATCTTGGCTACTGCAGCTGAAAAACAGCTTCTGAACTGAAGTAAATCTGTGTCTTTTCAGTGAAATGAACAGGCCCCTTCAGTCTGAACCAGCTGAGAAACAACCCCTTTTGGGCTGTTTTCTGGAAATACTTTAATAGAATTCATTCCCACAGTAAATACAATGTCATTGTCCTGGGCTACTGGCACTGGAACAAGACTAACATACACTTTGAATTTAAAACTCTCTGTCCATTTTAATGTCTGCTTTTCTGGCAGACACAATATGCCTTTTTCCCCCTAGCAAAATCACTATCTTTCTTTGCTTTGCCAATTTTCCCCTTACATTTTACTTTGTTTTGCTGGGTTTTTTGTTCTGCAGGGAGGGAGTGGTGTCACTGAAGGAGGGCAGGTTTAGATTAGATATTAGGAAAAACTTCTTTACTGTGAGGATGGTGAGGCACTGGAAGAGGCTGCCCAGAGGAGCTGTGGATGCCTCTTCCCTGATTGTGTTTAAGGCCAGCTAGGACAGAGCTATGAGCAACGCGGTCTGCTGGAAGGTGTCCCTGCCTATGGCAGTTGTGCTGGAACTGGGTGATCTTCAAGGTCTCTCCATCCCAAGCCGTTCCGCGATTACCCCTCTCTTTAGCTCGGTGTGAAGCCAAGGCACGCCAGTCAGGCAGCGCGGGGAGAAAAGGGATGCTGCGAGCGCCGGGGCGGCCGGAGGCGATGGCACGTTTGTATTTTCCTAAGGACCAAGGCACCGGGACACGGGCTGTGCCCATGCTGCGAGATCCCCGCCACACCAAAGGTCTCCGGCATCGCGCCCCCTGCAAAGCGCTGCTTCTGCCCCCTCTCACCCGTTTCCCTCAGGTCACAGGGAAAGAAACAGGCAAAGTTTTGGGTGCTTCTCGCCCACTGAGCCGTGCCGATGCTACGGAGGCAGGACCATCGCCACGGCGCTCCATAAGGCAACCACACCTGGCGCACACCCGCCAGCAGGGACAAAGACATCCCGTATTTTCCGCGGAAAAATCCTCAGCAGTTTTAGCGGCAGGAGCGAGCGGCGGTGCGGGCTCCCTTTGTGCCGCCAGGTGCGCTCCCCGCCCGCGGCACGCCCCGCCAGGCGCTCCCCGAGGCTGCGGCCCCGCCGAGCCACAGCCGCCCAGCGATGAGCCCGCTGTCCCGGGGGAACCCTCCCCGCGCCAGCCTCCTACTCACCGATCTCCCCATCATCGTTATCATCATCTTCCTCCTCTTCCTCCTCCTCCTCCCCCTCCAGATCCAGCAGCACATCCTGGTTCTCCACATTCATCTTGCCGAAGTTGCGTTGCCCCGCGCCCGCTCCCCTGCCGCCGGGGAGCGAGCCCGCCCCGAGCCCCGCCAGCCCCGGGGGCGGAGCGGCGGCGGGGGGCGGGCGGCGGGGCGGCCACCGGCACCTTCCCGGCACCTTCCCGGCAGGAGGAGCCGCCCCCGCCCCGCCGGGCACGGCCCTGCTCCGCCGCCAGGCCCCTTCGAAGCCCTGGGTCTTTTAAAAATGTGTCAAAATATGCACCCAAGCATTGAAGGACTCACCACTGCTAAATGCTGCCGGAAATGTGAAGCCTACGGATGCAAAAAGCTCCAAAGCAACAAGTAGAGTTATTTGGAAAGGTAATGGGAATTGAAGAGGGAATGCTCAAGGACTGAATAAAAAGCCCACGTCTAGAGCTCTAGTAATGTATTCGACTCGTTGTTGACTATTTCTGAGGGAAGAGGTTGTCTTCATCTCTATCTTAGCCTTCAGACAAAACCTAGGAGAATTTTGCAACACAGAGAATGCAGAATCGTCACTATGCAGGAATACTGAGGGGGCAGAAGTACTTATAAAAAGGGATTTAAGTGCTCATTGATATACTCATCTACTCACATATGTTGGTTCCAGGAGGAAGTAAAGGGTTCCTAAGACTGCAAGGCATCTGGAGGAGTGCCCAGACAGGAACTGGACTGAGGTGGTATAGTGGGAAGAAATGGAAATAAGACTGTAAAAATGGATTGAAGAAATGGAGGAGCAGTATTTGGGGAAAGGAGAAGATAAGAAGCACAAGATACCATTTGAGGCTTTTTTTTCCTGCAGAAAGCAGTAAAAACCCTATAAGCAATCTGTTTTCACTCTCCAGTCTATTGTTCATACCAAAATGACTCACAGGACTCAGGATGTTTAAAGTATAAACAAGAAACTGGATGAAAAGCCATTTGTCAGATAAGCTTGTCGCTTGTTAATATGGTTATCTGTTGTCAGTCAGCTGTGGTTAGAGTCACAGCAGGGCCTGGTATTACAGCAAGTCTAAGTGCAAGCACTTTCAGCAAAAACTTAGTTCAGAAATTTAATTGCAGAGTTTTGAACCAGCTCTGCTTGGCAAAGACCTTCTCTCATAGTCTGCTTAAAGACAGAAGTGGTCTGCAAAGGCATGTGTGAAACCATCAGAACTGAAGCTACTGCTTTTGCCCTGTTGATAATGCCTCACTGGTATTATTGTTATCTGCACCATCTGACACTGTGCATTTTTCTCACTCAGATTACGAAAGACTCACAGAACTGAACCACAGAAGGAGGGCAATATGATGGGGGGATAATGATGCATAGCAGGATTTATTCTTTAGTGTCCTAAGTTAAAAACCTGGTGTGCTGCCCTGTGACACATCCAATCTGCCTCTGACCATCTAAGAACGTGCCTTACTCACTGCTGTGACTGCTTGTCAGGTTTCACTCTCCCGGAGGTTATGGGGAGAGAGTGAGTTACATTGCTCCCAGCCAGGAGTGTTCACTCCAAGATGACTCATTTGCAGACACATAATGGTTTTGATGTGCCTGGCACACAGATGCAGTAACATTTTTACATACCTGTATTGTGTAATATTCAGCTGCCCCTTCTTCTTGCAGGTCCTCCCCTAAATGTGGTCCTGGCTGGTGAGATCTTGTTTCACACATGATGGGAAGAGGGCAGGTTACAGTCAAGGTACAACTTGGTTTAGGATGGTGACGTGAGATTTGTGCACTTGGATACTCTCCAGGGACATCATTGTTACCTTGGTTACATACGTCCCATTTTCACATTTAATGAATGAAAATATAATCCAATAATAGCAAAGTTTAAAAAAAGAGCACTTCAAAACCAGGCTTTAACAAAGTGTGGGTTTTTTTTTTAACCTGATCCTACTAAAAATACAGGTAGAGGATCTACCTCCTGCTCCCAGCATAAAGATTTCTCCCAGTATTTACAGAACATAAAGATTTTGTAGGCTTCATTCAGCCTTCAACACCTGAATGTTCAATTTCATAGATTACAGAGCTGAGTTTTGCAGATACCTTAAAAACTAAGGGGAATATTGTGTTTAAAATTCACATGAAAAGCATGTATGTTGGAAAATGCATAGCTATTTGTTTTTTGACTTTGTACCAGATGAAAATATTTCTATGTGTAGTTTTGCTAAAACACCTAAGCTACAGAAGCTCAGTTTTGTTACTCCTGGAAAACAGATTATTAAAAAAAAAAAGTAAATGAAGACAAAAATGCAACAGCACCACCCTGCTGCCATCTCTTTGTCAGATGGATAATAGCAAAAATCCACTCAAAGAATTGTGGGTTAACTCTAGCCAAGTTTTTCAAAAGTCATCTGAAATGAAAAAGTTAGGCAAACTAATCCTCACCCGAGCTCAAGCATGACTGTATTCAATTTTATTGAAGAAATAAAACTTCCTGCTAGTGAGAAACAGAGACAGTCCATGGAGCCAGTGGAAAAATTGCTTCCATGGGTAAGGGTTTCATAGCAACTGTAACAATATAGGTCAGGAAGAGAGTAAAAGAGACTGTTTAGCCCAGTAGTGACAAAATTCTGGTGCAGGCACCAAGGCTTTAACTGGCGTGGATCTGGGCTGGCACCAGGAGCTCTGAGTCACAGGGCCTTTGACAAAGAATCTGGCACTGAGCATCAGAAGCTTGCTGTCAGTCACTGCTCTGGTCCAGCCCCCGGAGAAGGGCAGGTTTGAACATATCCAGACACTGGTGACAAATATTTGCCATCACGTGCTTCACATTCTCTGGTGGGGAGTCCATGAGGCCTCCAGTTTCACGCCTGTTCATATGCAGCCAAAATAATTTTGCAGCACTTGAAGTTTTCTTCTTGTCCTTCTCCCAGCATCTCTGAGAACAGCTGGTTGTTGTTTTCTTGATAATGACATATTACATGTGGAAAACTATCACCTTAATGCCTCCAAAGCTTTTCTCATCCAGATTACACAAATCCAGGTCTTGCATCCTTCCAGCACATATCACTGTCTGTGCTTTTCTCTCTGTTACAAGTTACTGTAAAAAATGCAGTGTGAGAATCTATGCTAGGAGAAGGTGATATCATTATACAAAATCTTTTAAGTACATTGGCTTTACCCACTCACAGTCCTTTTCTCAATGATTGCATTCCTTTACACTCTCACATCCACACCATTACAAGAACAACAAGCAAGTGTTCAGGTGGTCTGGGCAGGGTCACTTGTGTACAACACAGAGGACCAGGGGGCCATGGAGCTCCATCCTTGGAGATACTCAAAAGTCACCTGGACACAGTACAGGTGGTTTTCCTGTAGCAAGGGGCATGGACAAGTTGATCTGCAGAGGTCACTTCCAACCTCAGCCATTCTGTAGTTCTGTGATTCTGTGATGAGATGCCAGGTATCAGGTCCTCATCATCTCCCCTGAGCAATGATAAACTAATTTTTGGACAGGTGTTTTGTACCCAAGAACCAAAAATCACTATGACATGATTCTTTTGTATCAGAACTTCTGCTTATTTCCACCTCCATAAATTTTAGGTAAGTCTGGTCTGAGTTCCTTAAGGCCAGAGTCTGTGCTATAGAATGGGCTAGAAATAAAAGGAATGGTGGATGAGATGTGATGTGATATTATTTTCTTTTGTTAGAGGTAGAGTCTGCTGCTGGCAGGCAATCTGTGTTCTGGTTTGACTGGAATGGTAAATGCAAGAAACAGTCCCCCTTTCTGTTGGGGACTATGCCCTTCGTTTAATATGAATATGGTTTATTTTTAATTGAATATAGTCCGTTGTTATCATGCTTATGCAGTTACATCCACTCATCCTTCATTTCTGCCCTCTTAATATTTCTACTACCTGTCAATACCTCTGTACACTTTGTTTCACTGCCTCACCCTTTATTTTCATGTACTGTGCTCAACAACAGATACTGTATTCCAAGTAAGAACTCACCCACAGTGAATACTATTGCTGTACCATTTTGGACATGATTTTCCTTCTAACATGCAACAATTTTAATTTTTGTCTTTTCATAGTTGTCAACTCATATTTCTATTGCACCCTGCAATAAGTCTTAGATCAGTTTCTGCAGCTGAGCTCTTTGTCAGGCAGTTTCCCATTTTGTATTTCTGTAGTTGATTTTCTGTTCCAAAGTGGACATGTTTATCCTTGTTTTTATAACATTTCCTCATTTGATCAGTTTGTTCTCATTTTTCAAGAAAATTTTGAATATGAGTCTTTTTCTTGGTATCAGCAAACTGCTGGGGGACACAATTCATATGGCCTAAGCCATAGGCCTAGCAAAATAAAGTTAATGAGCATGTAGAAAGCAAACAGTCAGAAGATTTGGAGGACTGGTAGGTCAGATGTGCTCCAAAAAAAAAACCTTGGAGGGAGTTTTGTGGGGAAGCTATCAATTACTGAAAGATATTAAGGCCACTATGGAAAATTGTATCAGTGCACATAAAATTTGGGAAAAACAGCAGGAGACAAGTATCACTGTGTGAGGATTTCTTTAAGGATGCAGGAGTTAGAGTGGTTCATCACTGTGGGATTCATTGCAGAGCAGAGAACAGAGCTGTCTTTCTATTCTGCATTCTCAGTTGGAATGAAAGGAATAATTATCCCAGGGACCAAACAAAGTCTATTATTTCACATTTCATAAAACATTAGACTTTTTAATAACTGCTGGGATATTGTGCCTTTGTGTCTGAAAGCAGGGGACTTTTACACCATTACTGAAACTTTGAAACACAGTAACAGAAAAGAGATCATTTGAAATGCAAAGCCCCTGCTATAATGGAAGAACAAAATCAGAGAGAAGATAAAAACTAACTAAAGAAATAATAAATAACACATATATTAATATTATATATACTTAATAAAATGGTATTTCCCCACAAGAAATTCCCTTAAGTGCACTGAATTATTCACAAATTTGCTGCATTAACAGTCAGTAAAAGAAAATGTAGAAGAAACTTCTTCCAGTTCACCACACCATATATTTTTCCTGTATTGTTAAGTTGGTGCTTGCAATCTGTTCAAGCCTAGAGAGAAATGACTGTGAAGGGTTTTGAGATGATTTTGTTTCATCAAGCTCTTGTGTTTATTTCAGTCTGAATCACAGATAGGGAAAGCATTAAGGTGAAGCATTAGGTGAAGCATTAAGGGAAATTAAATTGCCCAAATTCAGTACAACTCTAGTATTTTTCTTTTACCTCAGTTATGTTTCCAATTGCATGTAATCCTCACAGATTTCTTAATTCTCACTCTTGCATGCAGCCTTCAGTCTGAGATGACAACTTCAGTCTCTTTTGCCCTCTATTGAAGTGAATTGGTAATGGCAATTGCCAAGGAAATGTGAGCTACAATGCATAAAAGAGGATATAATGATGGATCTCAGACCAGTGGCGTGTGTAATTACTTGGTGCAGAAGTCTCGTGAGGGCTGCCAAGTCTTCTGCTGACTCCCACCTATGAGTTCCTTTTGCATTCTTTCTCTAGCTGTCCTTAGTATGGTAAGTAGATGTGGTAATCATCTGGCAAACTTTTTGTCTGACATTTCTAACCTGTTTAATACCAAGCTTTTAATTCTTAGGAAAGGTAGGTACATGGCCAATGTGTATCTTAGAATAATATAGTTCAAGTACGTTATTTTTCAAACACAAATTTCTGAACTCAGATAGTTCAGAGTATTTAAACTTCATGGAGATAATGAGGTTATTTCAAAAGGTGAATTATGAACAATAGCATTCAGTCATTTTCTTGGCAGTATGCTGTTCTAGTCTTATGATATTTTAATTCTACTTAAAAAAAAAAAAAAAAAAAAAAAGTCCCAAGTCTCTCTGGATATCTCTAAGTCCCAGGAAATGACTGTAGCAAATTTTAGTAATTCTGCAAGAGAGAAGTTGGGGAAGTTAAGGCCCACACCTGTAGGGTAACCAACAGGTTTTGTCTTAGTGCTCTGAAAAAATGCAAAGAGCTGCATTTAGTACTGACCTGAAATGGTTAAACTAATTTGAATAATGCTGTCATCATTACTGTGTCCAAGTGCAGGTACACTCTGGTTGGGAAAGTAAAGGATATGTAATTTGCTACACTTGTTGCTAAGTGTTTTTTACAGTGTCACTTTCTCAGTTAATTGGGAAAAATGTTTGAACCAACACAGAAATGACACAACCATAGCTGAATGTTCAGACTACAAAAAGTATACAATGAAGTCTTTAACAGTTTTTCTAATTTGAAATAAGAGCTGTATGTCCTGGAAAGATAAAATTTGTGAATTTTTGAACATAAGGAGATAAAACTTACTGGAAAAGTTGAAGAGTGACCATAATATTGTGGTAATACTACAGTTTTTTCCTGCAACTGCCACAAAAAAACCCACACATTAAAAAAAGAGAATGTTTCCAGAAATTTGCTCATGGAAGTCATGATATTTTATTTTTTATAAAATACTTTTAAAATTTCCTTTCTATTTCCAAGTTGGCTTACTCAGACAATCTTCCCTGAGCAACTGAGAAAGCTCCATTCTGTAGAACCCACTTAGCAATGTGTGTCACAAACTTACCGTTCCATTATCAGTGGAATATATATTTTTTCAGGAGAAACCTGAATTATCTGGTGAAAAATATGCATATGGGAATTTATCAAAATAAGGTCAGAA